TGCTGAACCAGTTGTGAAGGAGATTGGTGAAGAGGAGAAGAAGAAAAAGAACAAGGATGGGGAAGATGGTGAGGGGCGCAAGCGCAAATTGAATGAAAGCTCTGACAGCCCTGCTGCCCAGGTCCCTGCTAAGAAAACTAAAACAGAAGTTGAAAATGAAGAGAGTGTCAAGGATAAGAAGTTGAAGGAAGAGCCTGTGGAGGGACGTGATGATAAGAAGTTGAAGGAAGAGCCTGTGGAGGGACGTGATGATGAGAAAAAGAAGAAGAAGAAGAAAAAGAAGAGTAAAGAGGGCGGCGAGGCTGAAAAGGAAGTGCCAGTGGAGGGAAGTGAAGATGAGAAGAAAGAGAAAAAGAAGAAAAAGAAGAGTAAGGAGGATGCTGAAGTGGGAAATTTAGAAGAAAAGGAGACTGAGAAGTCTGAGAAGAAGAAAAAAAAGAAGAAAGACAAAGAGGCTGAAGAGGCTGCAACCATTGATAATGGCAAAGCTGATGGTGAGTCTGATAAAAGTGAGAAGAAGAAGAAGAAGAAAAAGAAGGACAAAGATGGAGAAGAAGATTAGACAAGAAAGTCCTCAACATTTTATTTTAAGGTAGTAGTTCCTAAATGACTGCTTTTGTTAACTCTACGGCATCTGAAGTACTGTTTGTAGTTTTTGTAATGTTTTCATGTAGTTTAAGCAGAAGCAATTTCCAAAACTGAGGTCTTGTATTGGATTTTTTTTTGGCTGTACAATTTTGCTTTATTCTCTACCGTGTGTTTAATAAATTGTTATTGTTCTCCTTGGCAGTTCATGAAATTGTTCTTGTTAAATTTTGTGGCCGTGTTTTCTCATATTTAACATGTCTGAATTTTATTCGTGTTTCCCATTTTGTACATCTTTGGAAGGATATGAACATGGGGATTTTGTGTGAGAAGGCTGTTGCATGGAGTAAGGGGGGTGGTTGACTCAAATTTGATATGATACTGGCACAGAGATGCATGTTATTCTTATAGATATTTTTGGTGTTTTTACTTCCTAGGTGCAGGCATCATTCTCTTTTTGTTTCTTTTTCAGCTCGATGAATGGTTTAAGGGCATGAGGTTGAGGAAGCTCTACAGGAGATTTCCAGACGCAGCAAAAGAATTGGAGCTTGTTTACCTTGCATGCCCTGGCTACATTCTAAGCTCATCTATTACAGAAATGAGAGGCCGTTTTCTGTAGATAACTTCAGTTTTGGAGTTGCCTCAAACCTTTTCATGGTTCATGCTGGTTCAATCCCTGCAATTTTCTGTCATAATGTGTAATTTGTCATTCTGTGGTTTAGTTAAAGGAATGTTCTTTGTTTGGTTGTTTTTAGCTTATAATGGATGTTTCACAATCTAGATTTCTCACGTAGAGTGAGTTTTGATCGAGCATGAAATCATCAATTAAGACAAATCTCGTTATGGAATAAGCACCAGCCGTTGAACGCATTCTATGCACCAGTACGTGGGATATGTTGAACCGAGCACAGATCAATGGACAACGAGGACGATGGAAAACTTACGGACCTGCCGAGTATCCTTGAGGTTCTTGATACCATCCAAGTTAAATAATTGCTGCGGAAGTTTTATCTCTGCTTTTGCGATTGCTGGTTCTGCAGAATGAGCAGATTGGCAAAAAATTTCTACTCCTATCTGCAGGCTTGAAATGTGATCTGGAGTTCATTTCTTTCCCTTCAACTCCAGCAACTCTGCCGAAAGAGCTTTCTTATGCCGCCCTGTAGATGCTACTCTATTATCTGTCTACAAATGCAATTTTTTTACAGGAGATGAGTGAGTGGAACCCTGATGTTTGTGTCCTGCGTTGACGGGGATCGCAGGCTCCTATAAGTCTTACTTTGCAATCAGGATTCGGGGGTAGTTTGACCATGATATTTGGTTAGCTAACAACCTTTGCACAAGCATGGTGGCCTCTCAATTGTCTAGAAGTCTTGGACGATAGTAACTATAAAATTCAGCTATGAAAAGTAAGAGTTTCCTTTGGCTTTACAGTTTACACTGTAGGATAATCACCCCCACAACAGTCAACAATCAATCAGTTTGCTTGTAAAGGCGTGAAAAAAGGATAATCTCTGGAAAAAAAATGCCAAGCTTAATAGTGAAACTCTACAATCCCTTCCCGATCTTCTCTCATTCGGCAACCTAACCCTTTGGTGTAAAGTCTCCGCCCCATGAATCCATCCCCGCTAGCAAACCCTTCTTTTACTGACAGTGTCGCTACCAAAGACATCTATGTCGACCCCTTAACTTCTCTTTCCCTCCGCTTTCCTTCCCGACACTTCTGTCACCTCTGCATTGCCTACACCCCCAAACCGCCCACCCTCCCGGACCAGAAGTTGCTTGTGATGCTGCAGTTTCACGGTGGTGGGTTTGTGAAGCAATGAATCGGTAGGAAACGATACCTTATATCAGAGAATAGTTAAATTGTGTGATGTTATTGTAATGGCTGTTGGGTATAGTTTGGCACCAGAGACCATGTATCCGGGGGCTTTTGAAGATGGATGGGTTCAAGGTTTTGAATTGGTTTGCAAAACAATCTAATCTGGATGCTTGTGGAAGATTGGGTGCTCAAAGCCATATTTTTTACAGCTGTGGTGCTTCCATGGTTGAGCCTTGGTTGGCTGCTCATGGAGATACTTCCGGGTACCCATTTGGATTAACTTGCCTGTCCTGTTCATCAGGCATCTAATTACATATTGATTTACTATTTACTCACTATTTTTTTTTTTTTTTATGGAGTAGTTTACTCATCATGTATCACAGTAATAGTTGTCCGGAAAAGGATGACAGTAATGTTCAACCTTTTGCTTCTAATGATTTAGCAGATCCTATTCTGGCTACTGGTTTGGCCGAGTTTGAAGAGAATCTTGCCATTAAAGCTCCCAAAAAAAAATATAATCAAGTTTGCTTTCAATAATTCATTATGGTCAAAATTCGATATATTATATTTTATTTTTGACTCATCGACAAAGAAGGAATCCTGTAAGTACACCATACAAGATACATCATTGGTCACAAAACTCTTAATCAGTCTCCACAAGAAACATTCATAAGGCTTTAGAAGTACAATAATGATAGTAGTCCATGCTCCTTTACTATCTTCACTGAATTCATGGCTTTCACGTATTGCTAGAATGCTATCACTTGTATGCATGATAAATCCACTGAGGTTTCTCCTGTGTGATAATTTAACCTGAATCGCTGATGCTACAAAGTGAATAATTATCGGCTAACAGCTTCTTGTTATCTTACCTGCATGTTTTTTGAAACATTGAGATGTAAACTCGTGATGACTTCAATTTTTGTTTTCAATAAAAGAAATCAAGTGGCTGCTGTATGCGGGCAACAGAAAGGAAACACAAGGGCTGTGTTTCATCTTACAGAATAACTCAAAGGGCTGCTGTATCATGTCCTTTTCAACTTCCAATAGGGGTGACTGCCTCAAAGGCTTCTACAAGCAATGACACTTTTCTTTTCCGAGCCGGAGTCAGTTTAGCAACAACCTGTTGAAGTGTATAATCAAGCATCCATTCATCAGCATTTTTCCTACCATCCGTGTCTTGGTGCCTTAAATGAACCTTTTCAGCTTCACTTGCAGGGTCCAAGGGCAGAAATCGTGGCTCCCTTGGATTGAATTTTTTCACCTTTTCCAATGCCTTAACGAATCTCTTGAGGAGGATCACCTTTTTCAGATTGCTCCAGTTTTGCATAGCCAGCTTTGGCTTGTTTCCTGCTTGTGGCATTGGTTTTGCCTTTTCTTGTGCACTGATGTTATCAGAACTGAGCTGCTGTTCTTGTTGATACAGTGTGGTGCTCTCCTCTACTTTTGTGCTGTCAGATTTTCCAAAGCTTTCATTGGTGCCCTCAGAGGAAGATGAGATGAAATGTTCCTCCCCTTCCCCAGCTTTCTTTTCTGCGTGCTCCTGGTCCTGGTCTTGAATTATGTCGCAGGCAACTGATTGATCATCTGTCGAGTCTTCTTGAAATTCTGGAATAGGGATTTGATCAATTGCTTCTTCTACCAGTCTAATGGCTTCAATCTGCTGGAGTTTAATCTTTTGGTTACCCGCATCATCATTATCCAGTGTGTTCATTTCAACCAATTTGATGCCACCATCCCCTTGTTCTTTGTTATCTGCTCCCTCAAGTAATGTCGCATTGCCTGATACCATATGCTTATATATCAAGAACCAGAACTTCATATGTTTCTGCTTTTCATGTGCAGCGTCAGTTGTGCAACCTGGTTCTGAATCGTCAAGCAGGGTGGATCCTTGGAGGAGCTTATTATCTTCTCCAGCAACTTCAGATGATTCCTTTAGTGGCACAGAAACTGAAGATGAAGAAACTACATCGGTATTTGCAATGGAACCCTCATAATCTTTTAGGGTTTGGCTTTTGGGTTCATCTGATTCATCACAAGTTCCGTTGTTTTTGTTATTGATGTCTGACTTTTGGCCGTTTAATCCAAAATCACGATCATGTACCTCTGAGGCAGAAACTGCACTTGCTTCTTTGGCATCCTCTTGGAGGGTTTCCCCATTTATCACAAGTTCCTCACTAGAAGTTGGTAGAACATCAGCTGACTTTGGCAATGGATTGTCACATAATTTGGAATCTGTATCCTCCACCAAACAGTGTCTGACAAAATCAGGCTCATCATCTTTAACAGTGGAATTAGTTTCACCATTACCAAGATTGAAAGCAACAAATTCATTCTTCAACTCTGCAGCAGTGTTCTTTGAAGACGAAGGACTCGATGCTAGATGAATGCAACCGTTTTTTAAACTTGTTTCTTTCACCTCAGAACAAGAACCTCGAATGTGCTCATCCACTTTGTAGAAGTCACTGGGTTGGTCTTGATTCTGTTTGAAGCTTGTTTCAAGGCTTGATGTCTTGCGAAGACTGATTCCAAATACAGTTTCTTTTCCTTCTCTAGATCCTTTGCAGTCAGAGGCACCGGTGCTGGTTTTAACTGGAGTTGTATGAGAAGAAGCTTCTATGTTGGACCTTGGCGAAGTACCAACTTCTGCGGGCAGGGTGACTGTCTCAAATGCTTGTACAAGCAGAGTTACCTTTCTCTTTTGAGCTGGGGCTAGTGTAGAAATAACCTGTTGAAGTGCATGATCAAGCATCCATTCCTCAGAATTTTTTCTCTCTCCCATGGTTTGATGACGCAGATGAACTTTCTCTGCTTCTGGGTCAGCCTCTACATTTAGATTCCCTGGCTTCCGTGGACTGAAGTTCCTCACCTTTTCCAATGCCTTGATGAATCTCTTGAGGATGAGTATTTTTCTCAGATTACTCCAGCTCTTGGGCGTTTGCTGGTTAGACTTGCTTTCCACACTTGATTCTGCCTTCTCATTTTGGAAGGCATTATCAGCTTGGAGCCTCGTTTCTTCTGGTTCCTGCACCATGCTGTCTCCACCTGAATCATAGGAAGTTGAGATGTTCAATTGTCTGTCTTCACCATGATCGTTTTCTGCAATCTTCTTGTCTGAAGTTGCGTCACTAATAACTGATAGATCATCAGTTGGCTGGTCTGGAATTTCTGAGAGTATTCTATCAAATGCTTCTTGCACCAACTTAATGGCATCACATTGGTATTGCTGAATCTTCCGGCTGCGTTCATCATGATCTTCCTCACCAATGCTGTGATCTGTACTAGAAAAATCCTGAAAAGAACCAGATTTGCTCATGCCAGGCAATGTATTCTCTTCTTCTTCCTCTTCGTTGGCTTCTTTATTAAGATGTGGTCGGGTTCCATCTTCTGCAGCAACACCTGATGCCATATGCTGATATATTAGGTTCCACAATCCCATGGGCTTCTGTTTCTCCCATGGATTTTTGTGGCCTGTATCCACAGTATAATCATGCTCAGAATCTGCACCAAGGAACCTATAATCTTGCACAGCATCTTGGTTCTTTTCTTCACAGGATGCTGTTTCCTCTTGCGATGGCTTACCAATGGAAGCAGAAGAGACCATATTGTCAATTTCTGTGGACTCCACGAATCTATTCAGGCTTAGGCTACTGGGTTTATTGACTCGTTCATCAGCTACACTTGTTGAATCATTTTCCTTTGCAGTGTTCAATTGTGAATCACCTTTAAATGCATTCAAGTTCAAACTAGCAATTCTACCTTCATCAGCTTCTTCTGGAAGAGTTTGGTTCTCAGTGACACTTATTACATTTCTGTAATCTTTTTCATCTCCTCCGTGAGCACTCTTTGACTCTGCTCTTGGCCCAGCTTTTCTGCCAATGGACGATGAGACGGCCATCTTGTCATGGGCTGTTTCTAGAACTGCCAAGTCTCCACAAGATGCCGATTGACTTGTCTGTGTTCCCTTCTTTGAAATACCAGAATGCTTCGCTCTTCGAGAGGATCGACTTTCTGATTTCATGCTTTTTTGGGTCTTTAACAGACGTCGCCTCATTGATACAAAGCGTTTAAGCGGAGGTACATCAGAACGGCGATTGTCATGAAGTGAGCAGTAACTGTATGGACAAACCTTCAAGATCGAATTTCCTTCAGATTCACTTCCTCCTGGTTGCAGCTCAAGATGATTTGGAAACTTGGAGTCTTTGATGGCCGAAGAACAGGTGGTTTTTTGGATGCTTGAGTCTGGAATTTGAGAACGCTTTGTTCTGAAGCTCGCCACTTTTGTGAAGATCCTTACAGGTCTCAATGTGGAAGGTCTTGTCAGAACTCTCATAGAGTAGTTACCAGAAGAAGCTAAATTCTGCTTTGAATTACTTGATTTTTTCCTATCCTCGTTGTTGCTAATCAAAGTAGATTCAAGATGGGGACTTGCCTGAAAATGAACATTCCTCCCATCAGAACAGTTTTTTGCCTCCAAATAATCCACCGATGCATCCGCATCACTTGCAAAAACAATGGAAGATCTGTCGGCAAGCTTCATTGATCTTGACCTCCTCATTTTTTTCTTCAGGTCAGTTCCTCCAGAAGATTTCCTTATCGAAGGTCTCCTGAATTTTATACTAGACAACCTTGTCAAACTCTTTGCCGGCTTAAAACTAGATCGTCTTGCCAAAGTTCTTGCTGATTTCTGCATGGAAAAGGCAATAATTTGGCTTACTATATTTAACATTTCAATTACTTGAAACACTGCTACCGAAACTTCTTTTTTTAATGGAAAAAAAGGGGGTGGGGGACTTGCCTGCAAATTCTCTCTCTTTGCATTTGAAGAAGTGGTGGTCCTCATATAATTTGGTGACATGCCTGAATGTTGTGAGCTTGCTGCGTCAATAGACAGGACAGAAACATCATCATATTGAATTTTGGCTTGTCTTGTGATGCGCTTCAAGCTTGGCAATCTTGCAAGCTTGAATGATCTTAGCTTCTTTACTTTCCTCGCCAGCTCTCTTCCTGCCTCGTTGCTAATATCTTCTTTCTGGTAACATCCAGCTCTCTTCCTGCCTCGTTGCTAATATTTTCTTTCTGGTAACATGATGAGGATGACGACGATGACGATGACGATTTGCTGCTCATACATGAACTTTCAGATGAGAAGGAATAATCAGAGTCAAATTCAGCTCCAAGCTTGGTAGGCATCATCTTTAAAATCTTAAAAGAAGAAGGATTTGGTTTTTTGAGACAAAAGAAAGTAAATAAGAAGAGTTTTTTTCTTTCTGTTCTTTTATTTTCGGATGGACATCACCGGTTTTAGGAGGATTTGCAAGGTGCCACCATGAAAACAAGTTGGTACAAGGGAAGAAATGAGATCACTAGAAGTTATCATGGATTCCAAAGCTATGCTATGGCTGTGTCTGGTTGTTTTTTACTTATTGACTTCATTTTTTAAAATTTCAACTTTCAAGAAGGATGTCATCTTGGAATGAGATTTGCAGAGGCGCTTTGACTTGTATTAGCTATTGACTTGGCTTTAATGGAATTGACGGGTTCTTCCTTTTGAGGATGGTAGGATTCATAATGTGGCAGCATTTTTGTTCCATTTCTTTACACTTTACATGCAAATACTGTATAAGCCGATAATTAGTGACTTTTAGATGTCTCATTCACCATTGAAGCACCGGTCCGCTGGACAAGTTGACGAGAAAATTTAAGATTTAAAATTTAAGGTGTGCCGGGTTTTAAATTGAATTGAAAACAATATTAATTCAATAAAACTTGATAGATCAATCAGGTTAATTTCAAGTGATTTTTTAAAAAGAACTATTAAAAAAAACTAGAAAATATTTTAATAAAAATACTTAATCTAGAGGTAATAACCTGCAAGGTAATCTAATGAGTTGGTAAATCATTTTTTTTTTTTACTTTGTGTTTAGATTGGCTGTTAAGTTGTAAAATTAATGTGGTACACCCACGATATTAATAGTCTATTTAGCATTCTAGCAGAGGTTATTTTTTAAAAAATATTTTATTTAAAAAAATTCTGCATAAAAATTTAATTTTTAAAAAAATATTTTTAAAATATATAAACTCTAACAGACAAAAGTTTCCACATGCTTTGTCAAAAATATTGTTATTTTCAGCTTTTATGGATGTTCTTAAGACGATGACGATGGCGACTATATATATATATATATATATTCGTTTTAAAAAACATTTATAATAAAATAAATCACTTCACATAATAAAACAGGTTTGTTTGCTTTCCTATTGGATTTGATTCGGAAATAAAGATTTAGGAAAGAAATATCTCATAAACACATCAATTTCGATTCGATTTCTTTCATGAAATTTGGTTAAGAAATATTATTACTATAAAAACAAAAAGCGTTCATTACTTAATTAACATTACATCCAAATTTTTTAAAAATGTGTTTATATAAATAAATAAATAAAATTGATTGGTTAGCTGGCGACAAGATGTGGTTTGGGATTCTAGAGTCTTGACTGTTGTGAGCCCAAAGGAGTGTAGGAGGGGGGGCATGGAAGATGAAACCGCGTAGGACTTTCCTGAGTGGGCCCACTCCGAAGTTGCTGAACATGGGACCAGTCATGAGTTCAACCGCAATTGTCGGAGATCGGACGGTGTGATTGGAGTTGTTGGATTGGCCCTGTAGTCATATTTTTCCAGATCCACACTTGCTCTAGATTAGTCAGTTGGCTAAGGCGGTGTTTGGAAATATAATACGGCAGTGAATTAAAATATTTTTAGTTTAAAAAAATTATTTTTGATAACAATAAATTAAAATAATCTAAAAATATAGATAAAAAATAATTTTAAACCAAAAAAAAATCTAAATTTTCATAAGCGGTTTCCTATTCATGTCATATGTTTGAATATAGGAGATGCAAAGATACGGTTTCCTTTCTTCTTCTATACGCCAATTTAAATATTGCAATTTCGAGCCGATGGAATTTATATGAATTTTAATATAAAATAAATACAAAGCAGTCTTTATAAATAAAAAATAGGTTAGTTTATAAATAAATACAAAGCAGTCTTTATAAATAAATAAAAAATAGGTTAGTTTATATTTAAAGAATCAAAGCTTAAGATGTAATTATACGTGAAGTCGGTAAAGAAAATATAATTTTTTTCGTGGGATATGCTGTTTAATTAATCCAGGCAATTCTTGTGAAATTCATATGTGAGTAACTTGCAATAGACAGGAAGTTTGTGTTTCTTCTACAAGTCAAACAAGATTATATTCACTATGGCGTCGAGCATGGAGGAATCCAATAGAATGAACTTCAGTGAAGTTAAAAAATCTTCCCCCTATCAAAGTATAATTTTAAAATCCACGTATACATATGCAAGGGGATTGATTCAAGTTCTTTTATAAGAGAATCCATTCAATAAATAATTGTTATTTTATTAATTTGCACTTCATTCATTCATTAAATAGCCTCATAAAATTTATATTTCAGAATCTAACATAGCTTCAAGCTAAATTAATTTTGATATTAGTCTGATGAAGTAGACTCATGACTTGGTTGATTTGATCTAATAAAATTTTACTAGGTTGGTATTAAGAATTATTTTTAAATAAAATGATATAATTTTAAATAAAAATAATAGATATGAGTTTAATAACCCGCAAATTAATCTAATAACTATTACTCTTTTAAAAATCAATGTCAAGCCAAGTCTAACAACTATAAGACCAATTCATGCATGTGATTAGGAAAACATAATTGGAATTGTAATTGGTTAATTTGTTTGGTATTTTGATATATGATATTTTTTAAAAGTATTTTTTATTTAAAAATATATTGAGATGATTTTTTCAGATTTTTAATTTAATTTTGATATTTTCATATTAAAACAATTAAAAAGCACTGTAAAAACATAAAATTTATTCTTTTTAAGTAAAACAAATTCTTAAAGCACATCTAAAAATAAAAACTACTTCTAGACATTCACTAAAAACACCCATAGATTTAATTTAAGAACCCTAAACATGGATAAACTAGAATCCAGCCCAAAAAAGAATTCCTTGCAAACCAGTGGTTCCCATTCCAAAACAGCACCAAGCCCAGTAAGAAAACACGGCCCATGGTATCTATTTGACTCTATTTATGTCTTCTAAATCTTAAATTTTTTATTTCGAGGAAATATATGCCTTGAAAATATTTTTCTATCCATTTAATCTTTCAATAACTTCCTTCCTTTTTATTAAATAAATCCAATTGCACATCATTAAATATTTATTTAACATGTTATTGAAATAATTTTCCATTGTTAACCTGACAATATCATACGTCAATATTATTTTCAATAAGCTAAAAACACTCTTTATTTTATTTATTAGTGAATGCTATTTTCATTTTCTTTTTTATTAAAAAAATATAAGAAGGAAATCAATTTAATTTAAAATTTTAATTTAAAATAGCAAATCAATACTAATTTCGTGCCAAATTTTATCAGGCATTTATCTTCTTGTTCATTTTAAGATTTATTTTATTTTATTTTATTTTATTATCAAATTTTGAAATACAAGGAAAACATATTAGTGATTTTTTAATAGTTAATGTATTAAAAATATAATTTCCAACAACTCATTTTCACAAGTATAATTCCACGTAGAGTTATACCTAGTGAAGTGTGGTCTTTAAGCGTCAATAACATCTCAGCTTTATGTAGACTTTTTTATGTAAAGAAACAGAAATAGAAAAAATCTGAGATCCAGTTACCAAATATTCAACTAATAATTTAAATAATATAAATAAAATATTATAACAACAATAAATAAAAATATAACAAAAAAAATTGAAATGAGTGCATCCAAAGTATTAAAAAACTAATGTTGGAAGGCAAAAATGAAATAAAAAAAGAAGAAGGAAAACACTCCAGTTAAATTGGATTAACTCACAAATATTGTGACACTGAACATAAGATTTGAAATAATTTTATATATAAAAAGTAGGGGGGAAAGGATCATTTAAAAGGAAAGGGAAAAAAACATGAAAATTAATTTTAAATTGAATGTTGAAATTAAAATAAATATATTAGAAAAAACTAAAGTCAACCCACGTTAGCTTTTGAAATTGTTGACTTTAGTCATGAATCTAAGACTAATCTGGTAGAAATAAAAAAAAAATAACAAAGAAAATATATATAAAAAAGATAAAAAAACAAAACATTAGCTTAAAAAAATATAAATAAACCAAAGGAAACCTCTTAAATCTAGTTAAATCTTTAAAATTTGTAGCTCATGAAATCCTATACTCAAGTTGAATCAAGAAATTTAATCTCCAGTCAATTTAATTTTGAAAGATAGAATAATAAAAAAATTATCAATTTTAAAAACTTGTAAAAGCAAAAAATAAATGGCAATAAAAAAATAAAGATCAAATTTGATATAAAAAACTCCATAGAGGATAAAATTATAAAATAAATATAAAAAATAATCTTAAATAAAAAAAATAACAATAAAAAAATTGAAACCGAATATGAAAGATTAAAAAAATAAAAGGTGATGAAATTAAAAAAAAACATTTATAATTTTATGATGCAAGCATGTTTTATTTTTATTTTTTTTAAAAAAAAACATTATAGACATATATTCATTTGCACTATTCACTGAATTACTATAATATCGAAGTTTTTTCATAATACTTAATAACATTATCAAATTGATTAGAAAAAAATAACTTATTTTTCATTTTAAAAGCATAGTAAAATAACCAAAATGCTCTTGAAAGTAGAAAATAAAAATAAAACTAGCATCCAAAGATTTTTTTTTGTATTTTTACAATGGTGTTTTCATTATTATCAAGTTAGATAAGGGAAGGTTTGATATTTAAATAAATATAAAAAAAATATTAATAAAACAAAGGCATAATGAAAGGACCAAAATGCTTATAAAAGAAAAAAAAGAGCTACCAAAGGTTTTTTTGTGTTTTTAATTGATTTTTTTTATTATTATTATCATATTAATTGGTGGATAATTTGGTATTTAATTATATACAATAAAAAAAATTAAAAAATAATCGGCATATACAATACATGAATCAATATGTGGAGAGTGCCAACACTGCAACATGTATTGTGCTTTTTGACATCCAAAATCTTCTTTCTACCATATTATTAGAAGTGTTACAATGTTTTTTTTTTTTAGGTGACACGTGTGATTCATAATGACATGTTTTGCTATTGTTGATTCTTTCTTCCCCCCTCTTTTCTTTATACTCCCCTTGATTTTCTTGCTAGTCATGCAAGAATTTATAGTTATTCTTTAATCTATGGGGATTTTTACTTTGTTTTTTTTTATTTTAATTTTTAATTTTTTTTATTGGATTTTTTTTTGTAAAATTTTAATTTATTTTCAATTTAATTATTCAATCCTAATTTTTTATATGTTATTGTTTATAGTTTAATCCTTATTCTTTTTATTTTTTTTGTTTGCCGTTATGTTAAATTGATTTTTCTTTTCAATTTATTCATATTTTATGTCAACTTTGACCTTCATTCATGTAATTAATATTTTTTGTTTTAAATCTTTTTGTATTTTATGTCAACTTTGACCTTCATTCATGTAATTAATATTTTTTTTTAAATCTTTTTGTATAATTTTTTTTTTAATTTCATCCTTTAATATTTGATTGATTAAGAATTAAATTTAATTTCATCTTTTAATATTTGATTGATTAATAATTAAATTCCATAGTTTTTCTATATAGAATGCTTTAGGTGAGTTATGGGTTTGAAAAGTTAATTCAAGTTTATCTTATTTTTTTAATGATTTTTGTGATTTTCTTCAATTTTTTATATCAGGTTATTTCAATTTCATTATCTAAATTATAGACTTGACAAGATAATTCAGATTGATTTGACCTTGATTAATGGAGTTATAAGTTTATTATGTTAACTTGAGATGATTATGACTGATTTTTTTAGATATTTTTTTTGTTATTTTGTCATTTTATATTTATGAGCTGAAAATTGAATTATATTGTTTGTTTTGTTTTTGTTTTTTTCTTAGGTTATCTTGATTTTTTTAAAATATTCATCTATTGTTGTTGTTTTTTTTCTATATCTAATTAAAAAAATAATTTATTTAATATAGCTGAGTTTATGATGCAAAACACATATTTTTTTAATAAAAAATATATTTAAAATATTTAAATATTATTTTTTAAACAATAAAAAAATATTGTATCCTTGCGGCTTAGCGTGAAACCACACCTAAGTAAGTAAATATAACTAGATAAGAGATATTTGTTTTACTTTTTTAAGGCATCTAAAGCAACAAACAACTGTCAACTAATAATAGAAAAAAAAAAAAAAGAAGAAGAAATTGTTTCGTCCAAACCACCCCTTGCTTTTCAAGAGTGATTTTACTTCCCCTTTTATGTATTTGTATTTTAAAAAATTATTAAATTGATATTTTTTAATAATTTTAATATTAAAAAAATCTAAAATAAAAATTAATTTAAATAAAATTTTAAATTAAAAGTATTTCATAACCAAATCTTTTTTCACATATATTTAGCCACAGTTTATTTTTTATTTTTAAAATTTTTTTAATTTTTTTTTAATTTTTTTTTTAATTTTTTTTTATATTTTTAAGTATATTTTAAAAATATTTTTAAAATTTTTATTATTTTTTATATTTAATTAATTATTTTTATATTTTTAAGTTATTCTAATGCATTAATATTAACAATAATTTTTTTAAAATAAAAAATATTATTTAATATATTTTAAAATAAATATTACTTAAGAAAACAATAAATTTACTCTCAAATAAATTTTTAGTCTATTTAAAAATACGGTACAAACCATGTTTTTGTATTTTTTATATATTCAAATCAATTTAATATATATATTTTTAAATATGTTATTTTAATATGTTTTTAAATAAAAATTACTTTAAATTATAATTATAGCCACAGCTCAATCTCACTCAAGCCAACAGTCCCGATCATTTGAAGACTCAACTCCAATTATCCGATGGTTAAAACAAATGTTTCTTTTCTTCCAATCGCGTCATCATTCAATATAGTTTTCTTTCCCTTATCCGCCTTTGATTGCAAGAGTCAATGTCAGAGCCATCTCCCCCTCCTTGCTCAATCTTTACGTAACTATATGGATATCCTTATCCGCTTCTAACATTTCCCAAAACTCCGATCCTGTATTTATTGTATTCATTTCACCCGTCTCTCTTTCCTTGCCGAACGAAAACAAAGTCTCAATCTTTCATTCTCTGTTTGTCTAAGTCTGTACATTCTTCACTTTCTCGAGTTGGGTGAGTTTCTTGAATTTGGTTTCTTGGGTTTGATTTTGTTTTTCAAGTGGATATTGCTATTTATTGGGCGGTGATATTGAGACCCTTTTGTTAGTTTTGCATTTTGGTTTTTGAGGTGGATGTCATTTTTTTAGGGGTTTTAGGGTTTGGTTATTGAAAACTCATATGGCAAGGTTGGCTTCTGGCAATCTGGATTTATAAGATTCTGTTTTTCTTGTTGACACAGTACAGGATCAAAAGGGTTGGATTTTTGTTACTTGTCAATATCTTCTTATTTTGTGATAGCTAGTCCTTTTGCATAAGGATTGCATATCTTTATTCTGTTTACTTCATTGCCTCTCTATATATTGCCATCCTATCCGGGGAGAGACAGATTCAATTGTTTTATTGTCCATCTCATTCTCATTAGAATCAAAGTCTTGACATACAATCCTTTCACAATTGTGAAATTTGATTCCTTAGTGACCATCTATTGTAGCTGCTTCATTTTTGTTTCGTACAAGCTAATTCTGTAGTTAGATTTGAGCTTTGACAAAAGAAGGCCCCGCTTCCAATTTCAGACCACTTTCTTGTTTTGGTTTTAGCTATAAGATATGGATATAAGCAACGAGGCCAGTGTTGACCCTTTCAAAATCGGACCTTCATCGATCATTGGTAGGACAATTGCTTTCAGAGTTCTGTTCTGTAAATCAATCTCACATTTGAGGCAAAAAATCTTTCATGTGTTGTTGAATTACATTTATAGATTTGGTGAATTTGTGACGCCTATGTTATCATGGTTTCATCCAAGGAATCCACAAGGGATATTGGCCATGATGACGATAATTGCATTTTTATTGAAAAGATACGCGAATGTTAAATTGAGGGCCGAAACAGCATATAGGAGGAAATTTTGGAGGAATACGATGAGAACTGCGTTGACATACGAGGAGTGGTTTCATGCTGCTAAAATGCTTGATAAAGAGAACCCAAAGATGCACGAATGTGATCTTTATGATGAAGAACTAGTCAGGAACAAGCTTCAAGAGCTCCACCACCGTCGCCAAGAGGGATCTCTCAGAGATATAATCTTTTTTATGAGAGCTGATCTTGTAAGAAATCTCGGTAATATGTGTAACCCTGAGCTTCACAAGGGTAGGCTTCAAGTGCCGAAGCTCATAAAGGAATATATCGACGAGGTCTCAACTCAGTTAAGAATGGTTTGTGACTCCGATTCAGAGGAGCTTTCATTGGAAGAAAAGCTTGCTTTCATGCATGAAACAAGACATGCTTTTGGGAGAACAGCTTTGCTTCTGAGTGGAGGTGCTTCACTTGGAGCGTTTCATGTGGGTGTAGTTAAAACACTGGTGAAGCACAAGCTTATGCCCCGAATAATTGCTGGTTCTAGTGTGGGGTCAATTATGTGTTCAGTTGTTGCCACCAGATCGTGGCCAGAGCTGCAAAGTTTTTTTGAGGATTCCTGGCACTCATTGCAGTTTTTTGATCAATTGGGTGGAATTTTCACTGTTGTTAAGAGGGTCATGAGACAAGGAGTTGTTCATGAAATCCGGCAGTTGCAATGGATGTTAAGAAATCTTACAAGTAATCTTACATTTCAAGAAGCTTATGACATGACAGGTCGAATTCTTGGGATCACAGTTTGCTCACCTAGGAAGCATGAGCCCCCTAGATGCCTTAATTACCTTACTTCCCCTCATGTTGTTATATGGAGTGCTGTCACTGCTTCTTGTGCTTTTCCTGGCCTTTTTGAAGCCCAGGAACTAATGGCAAAGGACAGAAGTGGGGAACTTGTGCCTTATCACCCACCCTTTAATCTGGATCCTGAGGAAGGATCTGATGCACCTATGCGTAGGTGGAGGGATGGTAGCCTGGAGATTGATTTACCAATGATACAATTGAAGGAACTATTCAATGTCAATCATTTTATTGTAAGTCAGGCGAATCCTCACATTGCTCCATTGTTGAGACTGAAGGATATAGTCAGGGCATATGGGGGTAGCTTTGCTGCCAAGGTAATGCGCACATTGCTTTAAAATTACCTTTTCTTCTGTCTCATTTGCTCTTGGTGTGTATTTGTTATTATATTTGTCATTGAACATCAAAAGTCTTCTCAAGATGCTTGCTTTTCCTATTTGTCATTGAACTTTACCAGCGTGGTTGTTAATTTACTTTGGAAATGCTTGGTTTTTATTCCGGTGCCTGGATGGAGTGTGAGTCAAAAAATTTGTGTCTATTTAAACTATTTGGATCAATGCCTCATGGATTTTGACTCTACGGTTCATCGTTTTGGTCCTTTTCACCATTAGTCATCTTCTTTTTTAATGTATAGCTATTCCAGTTAGAGGCTGAAAATTCTTTGTAAATCACTCATGACATGTGAACTCTTCATATAAACTCCATACAACAGACTTGACTAATGGTCATGTTTGCTTTGCAGTGGTTTAGGATCTCATAACTAGTGATTCTAGCGATTCAATTGATGGTTGGTTGAGTTGATGTTAAGGAATGCAAGAGGATTGGGGATTTGACTTTTTTCCTTAACAAAATGTTTTCTTTGTTGTTTTAGATTAATAGTTCTAGATGTAGGTTTTGAATACGAGTCAAAATGCAATATCTGGGATAGTGATCGTCTAAGCTGGTAGCCTTTACAAACAGAAGGTGTACTTGCATAGAGATATTTCAGTTATAATGCTTGTTCTCAGTTATAATTCTTGTTTCTTGGTCCTTTCTTGAAGTTGAGTGCTTCTTTTTCATATTTTTCAGCCTTTATCTTTTACAGTTCTGATGTAACAAAAATAATCCATTTTGGCGTTTAACTTTGTAGCTTGCTCATCTCGCTGAGATGGAGGTAAAACACAGATGCAATCAGGTATTGGAACTTGGTTTTCCATTAGGTGGACTTGCCAAGCTTTTTGCTCAAGAATGGGAAGGTGATGTTACTGTTGTTATGCCGGCCACACTTGCTCAGGTACATGTCAAATGAAAATTTTACACCTCAGTAAGGTGGCAGTTAAAACCATGATATCAATTAACCTGGGACCTAGAATTGTAAGGTGTATATATACGTTTCTTAATTAGTGTAAGAATGGTGAAATCAAAAGCTCATCAATCTGTCCATATATGATTTAAAACCCATATTTTCTGATCATATTTCCATGCGTTGTATGGCATGTGAATTAATTACATATTTCTGTGGTCCTTTGTCAAAAAAAGAAAACAGAATTATGCGGAGTGAATTAAAAGACAATCTTTTCCATGGTGACTTGCTGGCTGTTTGAATTCAATTCTTGCTTATGATGCAGTACTCAAAAATTATTCAAAACCCAAATCACTTGGAGCTTCAAAAGGCATCAAACCAAGGCAGAAGGTGTACATGGGAGAAGCTTTCTGCCATAAAAGCTAATTGTGGTATTGAGCTTGCTCTTGATGAGTGTGTTTCTGTTCTGAACCACATGCGTAGACTCAAAAGGAGTGCTGAGAGAGCTGCTGCTGCTTCTCATGGCCAAGCAAGCTCTGCGAGCACATTGAGATTTAGTGCTTCAAAAAGAATTCCTTCTTGGAATTGCATCGCAAGAGAAAACTCAACAGGCTCACTTGAAGAGGACTTCCTTGCTGATGTTGCTTCAACATTCCATCAAGGAGTTGGTGTGGCTGGAGGAACTTCTACTGGTAGGAATTTGAGAACTCAACGCAACCTACATCATGATGGAAGTGATAGTGAATCTGAAAGTGTAGATTTGAATTCTTGGACAAGATCTGGCGGGCCTTTGATGAGGACTACTTCTGCAAATAAGTTCATTGACTTTGTCCAGAGTCTGGATGTAGATTCTGAGCTAAGGAAAGGCTTCATGGCTCATCCTAACTCGCCTGGGGCTCAGATGGGAGGCAGGGATCCATATAATCAGATCTCAAGAGTGACAACCCCTGATAGAAATTCAGATAGTGAGTTTGATCAGAGAGATTTTAGCAATAGAAATTCTACTGGTGGTTCTAGCATTACAGTGACGGAAGGAGATTTTTTGCAGCCTGAAAGAATCCATAACGGGTTTGTGCTGAATATTGTAAAGAAAGAAGATTTGGCACATCCCAATAGGATCCATGATTTGGAGAATTACAATAGTGAAGTTCCTGAATGTGTTCAGCTTGATTGTCCTGAAAAGGACATGGATGCTAGCTCAGAATCGGACTCTGCTGCAGACGAAGACGACTCCCCGGCAACAGATTCCTTGCATAAATCAGCCTCCACTCTTGATCACACAGATGATTCTGTCGTTCATGACATTCAGGAGAAGCATGTCGTGGATGGTTAACTTTGAGTTTCTTCTGCATTACTGTACCAAAATATTGGGTGGAGTTGATTCCCGGGTTACTGTCAGTCAGAGGTTTCTATCACAAAGTGGGAGTTCCATAGATGAGATTTAGAGTATGTTTGTTCTTGTATTTCAAAAGCATTTTTGAAAAAAAAAATTGAATTTTTTTTAAAAAATTTTTGTATTTTTGAAAAAAAAATTGAATTTTTTTTTTAAATTTTTCTTAGTTTCAAATTAGTATTTTATTTTGGTGTTTTTCATAATATTTTGATATGTAGATATAAAAAATAAGTTTTTAAAAATAAAAAGATATCGTTTTAATGTATTTTCAAGTAAAACAAACACTTTAAAAATTAATAGTTTACTCTTGGTAGTGAATTATAGAAAACAATTCAAAGCAATCTGGCAGCATCAGGCTGCTGTTGTAAACTAATTTTGTGCGCATGCATACTATGCAACAATTGTAATCCAAATGCTCAGATTTCAGCAAACGAGATGGAATTTGACCCTCTCTCTATCAAAGCATGTGTATGCTCATGAATGTGTGTTGACTTGAAGTTTATTTGCCGGGAGATCTCCTGTCCACTGGCGACTTGAGTTCATTAGCTTGTTGACTGGATCTTCACCACTCTTGCTAGGCGAAGATATCTGATTCCTTAGAGCCCTTTGTGTGTTGCATTGCATTCAGATTTGAAGGGCTTCATTATAGTCGCTTGGACACGCCCATGCGTACAGGTCCATTATGGTCTAAAACAGGAAAAAAATTAAAGAGTATTTTTTTTTTGGATATTAAAACAGGGAAAAAAAAATCAGAGTCCGAAAAGTAGCAAAATTTAGCTAATAAAATTCACGACTCGTGAATTACATGTGTCACTATAAACTCTTAAACTATTAAATGGTCTAGTAAAGAAAGACAGTGATCTCAAGTGCACATGTAAATGATCTAGTAAAGAAAGATAGAGATCTCAGGTGCACGTGTTAGCGTTTGGAAAGTGTTTGTACTTGTATTTTTAATAGATTTAAATTATTTTTGCTATTTTTTTTGAATTGTTTTAATAATCTGATCTTATAAATAATTTTTAAAAAATAAAAAATATTATTTTAATATATTTTCATATAAAAAAACAGATCAAAAAACTATAAGATGAGTACCTCTAAGTTTCTTTCTTTCTTTCTTCTCTCTTCATTTTTTTTACTATAAGATGAGTACCTCTAAGTTTCTTTATTTCTTTCTTCTGTCTTCTTTTTTAAAAAAAATTGTAATTTATGTCGAGTCATTTAGCAATTTAAAGTCTGCTACTAACTAAATTATATTATTTTTAAAAATATTTTATGAATTATGTTATTTAAAAAAAATAATGTAATAAATTCCAACAAAAACTCGTGAAAATTAAGGTCTGTTAATCTTGATGGGCTCGCTTGGTTGGAATGCTGTCGTTGTTGGAGCATTCGCTTTGCTTTGTGCCGAGTACTATTTCTTGCAATCTAGTCAAGCCGGCCATATTTAAAAAAAAAACCACGCGAAGCCAAGAACGACTAAAGGGGGGGCTGACAAATTGACATGGCAGGATGGCTAGGCCGCCATACTCATCTCCTTTATACAATTCTCATCTCTTTTATACAATTCTCATCTCCTTTTTCTCTCGCACGTAAATTTCATTTTACACATGTTTATACGACTTCATCGGCATTGTTGCCGGAATCACAACAGTGGAGAACATGACGGTAGCGGCAAATTGTATCAGATTGTCCCTGTCGTTTACTCATTTAAAACTCATGTTGATGAGAGGAAATGGCATTGAAAAGTTGCCGAGAATATTTGAATCGTGTTGCTCATGGTCTTTGCTTGTTATTCTAGTGGGATAGGTATTCTTGAATCGAATGCGTGTTCTCGAGTGCTCATGACGCTGAATCCTGTACTTAACTTGATACATT